CCCACTGATGCTGAAACTCAATTGAGGATTTTTATTGCCCCCTACACACTAACAATAACCAACAAATTCAATTTCCCCCTTGTCGTGTTGTTTAATTTAATCTACATAAATACATACATATGTAAACACATGTGGGAACAGTTGATACATGTTGATCATCATAGGCATACAGCCCCTGACACCTTACACACTCGCAAACCTGGCAACATGTAGCGACAGAGACTGACGACCTCTAACCTGTCTGTGTGTAATCTAGCAGAACCACAACAAAATCAAAGAAAGCTGCATGTGTCAGTTATAGAGAAATCACTTAAATACTCCTGTTTACAGCACTTGAATATTCACCAGACTTGCTAAGTCCTGTCAACCTGTCTATGGAGATTGGTTTATCATCAGGATTTATGACAAGAAAAACTACTTGAAGTGAAAGAGTGGCAGTGATCTTCACCTGGGGGCATTCAGAGCATGTAACCTACTTACATTAGTCCAGCTGAATGTAACTAGCATTACATTACATGCAGATTCATAACTGAAGTAACACCTCACACAATGGTAGTTTATTATATTGGGAAAATCAGGGTTCTCGACTCACAAACATGGGGGTCTCAGGGACCCCTAATTATTAGTTTTAGAGGTCATTGCTGGCAATATGAGGGTCCTGTGAAGTAACGATGTAGAGAACTGTATGTTTTGATAATTTCTTTAGAGCTTGGAATGAATCATTGATCATGTGGACAGATGGTTGAAATGACGCGCGTAGCTTCTCTGAAAGAAACAACCAAACATTTAGCAAAGTCATAGATGTGTTGTGGGTACAGTGAATAATATAGTGCGTCATTCTGGACACAGTGAACTGTTTTTCTGCATCCATTCTCCATGTACTTGACACACATTTGCGCATTGCGTAAAATGCTGTGAAACTTACTCATTCTGTTGAAGCTGAGTGAGTGAGTGAGTGAGAGAGAGAGAGAGAGAGAGAGAGAGAGAGAGAGAGAGAGAGAGAGAGAGAGAGAGAGAGAAAGAGAGAGAGAAAGAGAGAGAGAGAGAGAGAGAAAGAGTGAGAGAGTGAGGAGTGAGTGAGTGAGATAGATTTTAATGGGTGGAGTTGTAAGAAGGATTTGAACAGCTGCGCGAGTCAGTCAGAACGAGTGTGTGTGAGAGAGTGAGTGAGTGAGTGAGTGAGTGAGTGAGTGAGTGAGTGAGTGAGTGAGTGAGTTGTGTTATGCCACAGTCAGCAATATTCCAGCCATATGGAAGACGACCGAACATGATTAAGTCGAATGGCTGACTATGGACCCAGGACCCATGTGCTTGGTGTAATGGGGGCCAATCTACACTTGAGTAGGTGCTGTAGGAAGGGGTCCAATTCCATGCCAATAATTGAAAGCAATTGTATTAAACACCTTAAATCTTATACACATTTAAGTCAATGATCTGACATCTGCACTTAATGATAACACTTCAAGTAATGAGCTGTGTTGTTTGTTACACCATGATCCACAATATTCCAACTAGAAGATATGGGTGGACTGTGAAATATTGAGACAATCAATGAAAAAAGGCTCCTTGTCGTCAGGGTATGTGTCACACAATCAAGCAAGTCACTAAGCCTGACCCCCTGCTCTAAGTAGTTACGACAAAGACAGGTTGCTCTGGACTTAGTCTGGGATCCCAACAAGGACTGAACTTCTTATCGTGGTCATGACATAATTTCTTATGTCCTGTAACTTGCCGATTTCATGATATCTTTGTATGACTTGATTCAACTATGTAACCCTAGATGAAATGGATAAAGAGAACTATGTAATTATCCTACTTAATGAAATATCAAAACACTACCAACTATGTTAATAATTCTTCAGCAATTACTAAATATGTTGACTTCAAACATGCCATTGCCATCTTTAAAAAAATATACTTATTAGATTTTATCTACATTCCTTTCAAGGAAACCAGTTTTCAAAAGCTGGGTATACTACAATCTACTTTGTACAAGAAAGTACAACAAGCCTACATTTACCGGTCAGACTAACCACATGTGTCTGAACTAACATGCAATACACGTCAGCTGTAGCCAACAAAGCATGTTATCACAGTGCTATTGACAAGCTATAGACAACAACATGTACCAGAAATGCATGATCGAGCAAAACGATTATAGTGTACCACTGGTCCATGTCAAGGTGGGCAGATCTGCTGATCAAAGATGTGATTATTGGATGATTGGTGGGAGATATGCGAGTGTTTGAATGACAGCATGGCGATAATGACCTGCTACTGATGAGATATATACATCAAGAAATCAGGGGAGACACTACCGGTAGTTAGTCACAGCGGGCCGGGTCAACACACAGATCACCTGTATATCGTACAGGTAAAACATGATAAGGGACATTTCGGCTCATTCAGGAACTGTCAAGAATAATTCCTGTGTTTATATGTTGTTTACTGTATGAAATATCCCATGATGTATGGTAGATAAGCTTGGAACATACATAAACCCCCTACACATATTGAACATAGAGTTTCTGTCGCAGTGGTCTTTAAGCTTAGAATGGCTCCAGTGTATGCCAAGTTACTGTTAATGCACAGAGTGGATTGTAGATGTCTGGCAAGGATGACACTCCAACCACAAACAAAACACTGACACAATATTATTACCAGTAGTTGATGGATGGCTCCATTTTGGATGGATTATAAAAGATACAAAACTTGAGTCTACAGTTCAGACACCTTGTTTATGCTTTCATGAAGGTAGTCACATCCAGCAAGATTGCGAATAGTCCGGACTACTGAATCAAGACCCAAGTTGCTTCCCAAAGAATTACAAAACGACACCTAATCTGGATAAAACAAATAAGCATTTAATGTAAAGCCTAATTCATCACATCAATAATTTTACCGCAGTGACATCCGCATGTTGATCCGGGTGTCTGATCACGCCCTTCCTCAGCACAGGTGAGGTAATGTCTAACAAGCGATCTATTGTAGTATGCCTTGAATGTCCGAATTATTCCTGCATCCATCGGGTTGAATATGAGACGGTATTTGGTTACATTTCGCAAGCAGTTAGCGAAGGACACATGTGACTTGCAGCATTGTCGTAAAGCAAAATCACTTTTAGTCCACGTGACCGGATCTGTCTGTCAAAGTACATTAACCAATCAGAAAACAGCTAACTTGTCATCCACGCCAGCAAATGTACAGTATCTTCAGTCGGGAGCTTTTATGTCTAATTAAAACAACAACCCAGTTGGCCAGTTAATTAAAGTTATACCATTTCAGTACCAAAAGTTTTAGACTTCTCTGTTATTACCCAGTACCAACATGTTTGAAGGATAACCAAAACACAACTGCCAGCATCAGTACAAACATGATCCACGATGACAGTTTGATACTGAAGACAACTGTCTCTATACACATGATACATCATGTAGATGCTGCAGATCTGGAGCCAGTCCATGTTGCCAAGCAACCATGTAACACTACAAGTATTCACCATTTTATATTTGAAAAAAATACATCACTTTTTCATTTTTATTTTTTACTTTTCCTATTTCACATGCAGAGTGTCCTATAGCATGAAGTGGAGAACATGCTTGAATGCTGTAAGTGTAACCTTACAGGCTGTAAATTCCCTACACGTCAAAAAAGGCTCATAGTCAGATTAACAAACATGTACATGTAACATCAACAAATAAACATATAAGGAGAAGATAAAGTGTTATGGCAAATAAACATCAAAAGCCTAGGGACATCATTAGTTTCACTGTCAGTCCATTACCCAATCCTTAATGGTTATAATACTTAAAGGAATACGACCTGCAGATAATACTAAAAATGTTACTGTTTTTCTACATAGCGTACATATGTACTACTGACTAAATACACTAGTGTCTACCACTGCCCTAACACTGATCAATGCAGACTGATATTCCATTGTGTAGCTGTTATATATCATATTGACATGGCTTGTATTACACAATATGAACACTGCTGCCGCCATAATAGTCAGTGTCAAAAATAACCCTGAAAAGTCTGGGTCACGCTGACTGGAAGACCATGGACATATCCAGTGATCTACAACAGACCTAGCTACAGCACAGACCAGGTGTCAAGGAAACATGTTTAAAGACATTACCGTACATATATACACATGTACATACCTACACACATATGTATTGGGATTGAGTATGATCTGGTGATGTGCTTTGTTTAAGATAGTTTTATACATGGCGTGGATTCATAGACAGTGAAATACTGTACTTACATACACACATACACAAATGAATGAATCAGCAAATTGGTGGTGTAATCAGAAATCGTTCAATCATTTCCACAGATCTAGCATGTCAGAAAGTCTGGTAAAAGAGTTAGTGAGATCAATGTAAGTAAGTTATATTATTTTAGTTCAGCCATTACATGCTAGCCATTATCACTGGGAAACAGCAATATGAACCCATGAACAGCATATCCTGACACAGCAAGGGGCACAACTCTGCATCACTGACTGTGGAGCTAAATCTGCAACTGGGTCATTGAATGGATTATGATGGTATGAGTTTCCTAGGCATGCCAGAAGCAGCTGATTAGACACATGCAGAATAACTTCACATATATGTATAGCATTTCTACATGACTTCAAACTGTTAAAAGGTGAGGTGAGGTGAGGTGAAATTGGGTTTATCGTCGTGCTTGAGAATATTTCGCTCATATGACGACGTGCATGCGTGTGTATGTGTATGTGCGGCTGCTTGTACTAACCCAGACTGAAGCTGGTTTTATAGTGCTAGCCCACTGAGATACCATGCCGCAGTGAAGCATGAATACCCCACTCAGACACATTATACTGACTCCGAGCCGACCAGTCCTTGTTGTACCCATTAATGCCGAGCGCCAGGCAGGGACCAACAAGTACCATATTTTAACGTCTTTTGGTATGACGCGGTCAGGGAACCAAAGTGTTAAAAGGAAAAGGTTGATCAAGTTCTGATACTTACAGTAGGGATCTTTTTCCAGGTGTGGGTTGCCATGGAGACTGAGGTTGAGGATATGAAGATGTCGTATTTTGACCAGCTCTTTCCATGTGAGGTTGTTGCCAGCCAGAATAAGAGTCCCTACAGCCAGGAACCTGGACAGCCCGTCCAGACATTGGATCTAAAGGGGACAGTCAATATATACATGTGTACATGTTCACTACTTGGGACTAAACATGAAATAAATGTCTTCCTTTTCACTGAGAGAAAGAGTAGTCAAGGACAACCAACAACCTTTTACTGCCAACTATATTGGTATTTTGGGTTACTTAGAATATTGGAATCCTGTTCAGCTTTTTGCAATATCATGTTCGTTTCAAGGAGCACAGTCCTTGATGGAAACACATGATCAATGTGCCTAGTAAATGGCTTATGTTCGCGATATTGTGTGTTTAGCAAATTTGAATTTGGTTAAGAAGTTTATTTCATCTCCACACGTAAAACGTCTACACTGGCTATTCCTAAAGTTAATATACCATGTTGACCACCACAAGCATTAGTTTCATTAACTTAATCCACCCAAACTTATTGATGTGCAGCTGTGATGCCAGGGTGCTCTGAATTTACTAACAAAACTTGTTTTGGGCATTATCATTAGCACATTCTCCAGAAAAGAAGAAACCAGGAAGGCCAAGGACAACATGGCGAAGGACAGTAACTTCTGAGTTACATCAGAAACTGTATACATGTATTCACAGGTATTTTTTCTGTGAGATGTTTTGGTGTAATAAGTGCAGTTTCTCTTGTTAGTGAGTGAGTGAGTGAGTGAGTGAGTGAGTGAGTGAGTGAGTGAGTGAGTGAGTGAGTGAGTGAGTGAGTGAGTGAGTGAGTGAGTGAGTGAGTGAGTGAGTGAGTGAGTGAGTTTAGTTTTATGCCGCACTCAATAATATTCCAGCTATATGGCGGCCGCTGTAAATAATCGAGTCTGGACCAGACAACTCAGTGATCAACAGCATGAGCATCAAACCCCGCAATTGGGACACGATGACATGTGTCAACCAAGTCAACGACCAGTCTGCGTTTTCACAAGATGGTACCTAGCCAATCGGACAGCTGAATGACTAACATGCAATGATAAATGTACATGTGATATTTTCCCACAGTCTATATTTTTCTCTCCAATGCAAATGATGAACTACAACAGTAAGGCTACAACCATGATGTCACAGGGACCTTCGGAGCAAATGTGAACTGATACAAAAATCTACAGTGTGTCGGCATACGTCTCTGATGTTTGTACTATCATTATCAACAGATCCACTGAGCAACTCCAGGCTGCAGCAAAGATGTTCCTGTTCCTGATTCAGCACCATAATATCTACTGACAGTCATGATGATACCATAAGGAGTTTGCAGTACGCAAGCCAAACCATAAACAAGTACAACTTAAACTTTGAGTTCTTGAATGACATGTTGCAGATTACTTCAATATAATATAGGTTATATATTTATCATACTGATATAAAAAATACTACTTTAATGAAAACTGGCCTACTTTCAAGGTGTAATAAAGCAGATGTATTGATATCTGTGTTTCCTGTATTGATAAAGTATCAGGACACACACTGTATTGATATTTGTATGTTCAATGATAGCCTACAGCACAGATCAATGACTTCCATGTTAACTGATTTGGGCTCAATATTGGCTTTCTGTCATAAGGAGGTTTTTCTACTTATAATGTCAGAATTCCTTTTTCAATTACTGTTGCAGACACAAAATGTTAAAAACATATTCATATTAAATTTTCAATTTCTTACCGCATGTCTTACGTGAACATGTTCACAGTCCTACAGAAAGATCAAATTTAAATTGTAGACCAGCTTATCTATTTGTCTGGTGTATATGCAGAAAGTATTGGGCAAGATGGGACAAAGAGAAATATTCTTTGACCATCAGAAGAGAATTTCAGAAATAAAACTACTGAAAGTACCATTCATACATATTGAACAAAATGGCAATCAACAGTAATAAAAACACTAAAACTTAGTTTTAATACATTAGTTTTAATAATTGGCTTTTAAAACTTTAAAGAGTATGAACATAGAAGTAAATAGTACTGTAAACCACACATTACATCAGTTGACTTAGAATCACCATGGGTTATTGTTGTAGTGGTATAATCGTCTCCACACAATAATATCACCCACAGATTGATTGTGATAAAATATTACTGTAGTGGCCTGTCGACAATTCAATCTGCTGGCTCGTGGGTAATGCATGCCCTCAGACATTGCGATAAGGACATAATACCTCGCCAGGCCTATTGTCCCCTGAGTCCGTGTCGCTTGTCACTGTAATCTGCCATAACCGTTATGATATATTTTGGGTATAATACTTTATAAGCTACATTCCTGCAGCTATTGTCGCTTTTAACACTCCTGTTTCAGACATTTAGCTAATCTCTTCTTTTATAATCTTAAGTATTGGCTTACTTTGGAATACATTTCAATATAGTCAATACTGTTCTTAGGATAGATTTGTCTTGGCTTACAGATTTTTTTACTGGCTACAATGCCACAATCAGCTGTAGAAAAAGTCAGCCTCACACCTAGGGTAGTACTTGTACATAAACACAGCCTCAAGTCACCCCACACCCAGGGTAGTACTTGTACATAAACACAGCCTCAAGTCACCCCACACCCAGGATAGTACTTGTACATAAACACAGCCTCAAGTCACCCCACACCCAGGGTAGTCCTTGTACATAAACACAGCCTCAAGTCACCCCAGGGTAGTACACCCAGGGTAGTACTTGTACATAAACACAGCCTCAAGTCACCCCACACCCAGTACTTGGTAGTACTTGTACATAAACACAGCCTCAAGTCACCCCACACCCAGGGTAGTACTTGTACATAAACACAGCCTCAAGTCACCCCACACCCAGGGTAGTACTTGTACATAAACACAGCCTCAAGTCACCCCACACCCAGGGTAGTACTTGTACATAAACACAGCCTCAAGTCACCCCACACCCAGGGTAGTACTTGTACATAAACACAACCTCAAGTCACCCCACACCCAGGGTAGTACTTGTACATAAACACAGCCTCAAGTCACCCCACACACAGGGTAGTACTTGTACATAAACACAGCCTCAAGTCACCCCACACCCAGGGTAGTACTTGTACATAAACACAGCCTCAAGTCAGTACTTGTACTCACATCACCCAGGGTAGTACTTGTACATAAACACAGCCTCAAGTCACACCCCACACCCAGGGTAGTACTTGTACATAAACACAGCCTCAAGTCACCCCCACACCCAGGGTAGTGCTTGTACATAAACACAGCCTCAAGTCACCCCACACCCAGGGTAGTACTTGTACATAAACACAGCCTCAAGTCACCCCCCACCCAGGGTAGTACTTGTACATAAACACAGCCTCAAGTCACCCCACACCCAGGGTAGTACTTGTACATAAACACAGCCTCAAGTCACCCCACACCCAGGGTAGTACTTGTACATAAACACAGCCTCAAGTCACCCCCACCCAGGGTAGTGCTTGTACATAAACACAGCCTCAAGTCACCCCACACCCAGGGTAGTACTTGTCAACCCCAAGTCACCACACCCAGGGTAGTGCTTGTACATAAACACACACCTCAAGTCACCCCACACCCAGGGTAGTGCTTGTACATAAACACCTCAAGTCACCCCACACCCAGGGTAGTACTTGTACATAAACACAGCCTCAAGTCACCCCACACCCAGGGTAGTACTTGTACATAAACACAGCCTCAAGTCACCCCACACCCAGGGTAGTGCTTGTACATAAACACAGCCTCAAGTCACCCCACACCCAGGGTAGTACTTGTACATAAACACTTGTACATAAACACAGCCTCATGACAGACACTAGCTGAACACAGGATTTGTTTTGCTTCACATTTCATTCTGACTGGTGTACTACACTTATCACACACAGTTAAAGTATGGGTAAAGGTTATCCACTACAACCAACAGACCTGTAGACATGTTAACATGGTTAATGGCTAAACAATGAACTTCAGAGAGTTCATTCATTATTCCATGACATAATCTGGGACATCTGTGACTGTGTCAAGTAATATTTGACATCTGTGACTGTATCAAGTAATATTTGACATCTGTGACTGTATCAAGTAATATTTGCACCATGACTGTTTCAAGTAATATTTGACATCTGTGACTGTATCAAGTAATATTTGCACCATGACTGTTTCAAGTAATATTTGACATCTGTGACTGTATCAAGTAATATTTGCACCATGACTGTTTCAAGTAATATTTGACATCTGTGACTGTATCAAGTACTGTTTCAAGTAATATTTGACATCTGTGACTGTATCAAGTAATATTTGACATCTGTGACTGTATCAAGTAATATTTGCACCATGACTGTGTCAAGTAATATTTGACATCTGTGACTGTATCAAGTAATATTTGCACCATGACTGTGTCAAGTAATATTTGACATCTGTGACTGTGTCTGTAACATTTGACATAGATCTGTGACTGAATTCAAGTGAAGAAAGTATTCACTGTATGGTTTTCTTTACACACAAACAAAGAAAATCAGATTTCTTTATTGTATTTCAAAGGTGCAAACAACAATCGCTAGTTAGTCATTACAGAGACTCTACACTGAATCAAGGTGCGAGCAAGTGAACTATAATCAGAAAGGACCAAAGGCCTAGGGATGAACACATACTTTTATTAGTTCACGTCTTAAAAGACATATTTTCACCAGAACATTTTGTGCAATAACTAGCAGTGGTAGGTATGTTTATGTCCATATTGTGCCCGCAACAAGAGTCTGGAGAAGGATACGGAATGTGCAAACAGGGTCAGTTGGGATATGCGCAGTATCCATACAACCACAACTAACATTGATGATATCTACACTCACATGATATCCACACTAATGTGATGATATCAATACAACCATGTGATATCCACACTAGTGTGATGATATCCATACAACCATGTGATATCCACACTAATGTGATATCATACAACCATGTGATGATATCCACACTCACATGATGATATCCATACAACCATGTGATATCACACTACTAATTGATGATATCCACACTAGCGTGATGATATCCATACAACCATGTAATGATATCCACACTTACATGATGATATCCACACTAACATGATGATATCCACACTAACGTGATGATATCATACAACCATGTAATGATATCCACACTAACGTGATGATATCCATACTCACATGATATCCATACAACCATGTAATGATATCCACACTAATGTGATGATATCCACACTAACATGATGATATCCATACAACCATTTAATGATATCCACACTAGTGTGATATCATACAACCATGTGATGATATCCACACTCAAGCGATGATATCCATACAACCATGTGATATCCACACTAGCGCATTGATGATATCCACACTAGCTGATGATGATATCCACACTAACGTGATGATATCCATACAACCATGTAATGATATCCACACTAGTGTGATGATATCCACACTCAAGTGATGATATCCATACAACCATGTGATATCCACACTAACATGATATCCACCCTAACATGATGATATCCACACTAACGTGATGATATCCATACAACCATGTAATGATATCCACACTAGTGTTATGATATCATACAACCATGTGATGATATCCACACTCAAGTGATGATATCCATACAACCATGTGATATCCACACTAACATGATATCCACACTAGTGTGATGATATCCACACTCAAGTGATGATATCCATACAACCATGTGATATCCACACTAACATGATGATATCCACACTAACGTGATGATATCCATACAACCATGTAATGATATCCACATTAGTGTTATGATATCCATACAACCATGTGATGATATCCACACTCAAGTGATGATATCCATACAACCATGTGATATCCACACTAACATGATGATATCCACACTAACGTGATGATATCCATACAACCATGTAATGATATCCACACTAGTGTTATGATATCATACAACCATGTGATGATATCCACACTCAAGTGATGATATCCATACAACCATGTGATATCCACACTCAAGTGATGATATCCATACAACCATGTGATATCCACACTAACATGATATCCACACTAACATGATGATATCCATACAACCATGTAATGATATCCACACTAGCATGATGATATCCATACAACCATGTGATATCCACACTAGCGTGATGATATCCATACAACCATGTGATATCCACACTAACGTGATGATATCCATACAACCATGTAATGATATCCACACTAGCGTGATGATATCCATACAACCATGTGATATCCATACAACCATGTGATATCATACAACCATGTGATATCCACACTAACGTGATGATATCCATACAACCATGTAATGATATCCACACTAGCGTGATGATATCCATACAACCATGTGATATCCACCCTAGTGTGATGAAATGATACACCTATGTGATGATATCCACTCACATGATGATATCCATACAACCATGTGATATCCACACTAGTGTGATGATATCATACACCTATGTGATGATATCCACTCACATGATATCCATACAACCATGTGATATCCACACTAACATGATGATATCCACACTAACATGATGATATCAACACTCACGTGATGATATCAATACAACCATGTAATGATATCTACACTAACGTGATGATATCCACGCTAACGTGATGATATCCACACTAACGTGATGATATCCATACATGCACATGAGGTGCACGCAAACACATGGGGCTATCCACACAAACACACAGCCATCACAATGATGACATACGTAACAGGTAGAATTGTATTCCATAAACTGGTTTAGAGACATCATGGCTGGGGTGATTTAAGCAAGTTTAAACATTTCAAGGCTTGATTAAAGAAAATTTGAAACGCTAAATATCAAAACATTAAGAACTTTTGGTTTGGGTCAGCTAAAAGTGAGTAGAGGCAGATTTTTGCTAAACGTATAGACTTTCAAAATGAAATATTCTAATGAACGAAAGTCCTTACTCTGTGATCAAATTCTATCCTTTGTTTGAAAAAGTTGAATGATCAACAAGTTTCTGAAATCACATCTATCAACAGTCTAACATGTACAGCATGTATTCACTGTACCTAGTTACACACAAGATTAAGTTCCGCTGCCATGATTATTTGATGGAAGCCACCTGATATCTTGTGTCAACCTATCCTAATCACAAGGAGAACTCCATATGACAAGGAAATACTATAAATCTCCCGATTCCTCTTGGGAGGACACTCAAAGATAAAATTAAAGACTTCGGCTGATATGAAGTCGGAAACTGGTTACCCTGTCAATGGGTGTCCTTCAAACCAAGGCATGTGAGAGGTGTAAGATCATAATTGTGATTTTTTTCATCCTATTACATAAAGTTAATGCTGACAAGGAAATATAATCCAGAAAATGTAATTTAGGACAAAATCCAATGTCCTGTGTCAAAATGGAGTGATTAGCAATAGACAAATTGCCTCCCAACTTAACTATACCCAAACAAATAAGAGCTGTAACAGCTTCATCCGAATGGACGTTGCAAAGAATATGCCCTTACATAACTATGTGATGCAACACATGTAAGTGAGTTTAGTTTTACGCCGCACTCAGCAATATTCCAGCTATATGGCGGCGGTCTCTAAATAATCGAGTCTGGACCAGACAATCCAGTGATCAACAGCATGAGCATTGATCTACGATGCAATGCATGTACTACCAGGAACCAGTACATGACTGTTCACACAAACACCAGCTTTTCCTGAACAGAAATTTGGTACTTATCTGTAGCAAACTCATTGTGACATCATGATTATTGGTGCTGCATGTAAAGGAATGTTGGTTGCTTTTGCTTGCATAGACTTTATAAAATAATAAATATGTTTGGCTGTTCTAATGGGTATTTTTCATGCTTTTGATTTTATATATTTCATGCAATAGTTTGACATGACTTTCAAAATGCTTTTGTTTTCAACACACAATAAATTCTGTTGACAATATATGTGTAATGTAGAGAGGATTTATGTCTTTTCTTGTCAAATGTCTTCTTGAATGACATGAACAATTTTACATCTCAAAATGTATATTCTAGCACGACGTTGTGAGATACTTGATTCTGATTGGCTGGACTCGAGAGTTCATCAAAACCGTACTTAATTGGCAGTTTAAGGACCGCTAATTAAAGTGACCAATTCAACGCGTATGAATACAATGAACTCGTTACACTTTTGTTTGTAACGCATTCGGTTTTTGAATTACAGTTAGCGATCTTAAATCAACGATAAAGGACCACAAAATTGAAAACAGAGTAGCTTTATCTTCTAAATGTTTATTAAGCCTTCCAGCCATGAGTGAAAAAAATGTCTACTTTTTGAGGTTGTCAGATAAATGAAATGTCTAATTGGACCAAACATGCCCTGTGTTAATTATGCATAATCTTACCAATTTTTGTTGGGAAATCACACTGTCATTGAGACAAAAAGAAAAAGGTTCTGGCATAAGCAAAACAACATTACTTTACTTAAATAGAGTAGTATTTAACTCAGTATTTTATCACTAGATACATACCTTGTTATTACTGAAGTCCAAGTGCCACAAATGAGTACAATATTCCAAGTTATAAACTTCACAAATATTATTTCCACGTAGCTTCAGAGTCTGGAGTTTGGGGCAACTGCTTAGTTTCTCAATGGATGCTGTGAAAAGAAAATCTGACGTTCAAAATCAGGAAACCAAAACAAAGTGTACTCCAGGCTAAAATTCAAGTTATACAAATTAACATATATTTCTTGTCCATCATGAACCGCCTGCTCCTAAACTCAAGGATTTTTTTCACTGAAGTCAACCTTGATCAGCATAGGCGTGGCCAAATGAGGTCCCATGATTCATTTAATAGCGTTATACATTTGTAACCTACCCAAAAATTATATTTGTTCTTGAGAGAAAGACTAAAAACATTACAGAACTTCAATATTATGCTGAAAGCAATTCCTGGAGTGTTAGAAAACCTTTTCATTTTGACAAACAAATAACTGTATTTATGACAATTTCTATCAAATTAGAGATGTTGTACTCTAAATACATCTGAAGATACACCTCTCAAAATGTCAAAATGTAATTAAATTAAACTGAAATATTAATAAATATAACCAAAATACAAACAAAACATCATTAAAAACTCCACAATGATTATGAACATGCTTCAGCAGAATTAACTTAGACCTACTGGAAATCAAATTAATTATTCACAAAACTCAACAAGTCATTGATCACTTCAAAGATGAAACTTCAAAAACTAAATTATACAATATTTCTCGATACAACAACTAGATTAACAATAATTTTAAAAGTTCTTTTGTTTTCAATAATTGTCTAAAAACCGCAGCCAACAGACGCTTCTTCAGTAACAACATATAATAAGGTAGTTGGAGCAAAGGGACACATGTGAAAAGTTTGTTTACATACCCAACCCGAGTTGTGACAAGTCCAAGTACTCCAGGGAAGGTAGCGGTCCCGTCGCTTTTGAGCGCAGCAACTACAATTACAAACAGTTAGTTAGCATCATAATCAAGAACTTTCCGAGAGAAAACGGTAAGCTTTGCTTGAAAATCAAGAAAGTCGCCCTTACTGCTGTTGTTATTTTCATAGTTACGCCATATCTCGAGAAACACTACACCCGATTAACTGGAGTGACAGCAGCATACTGTCAGACTGTTCACGCAGTTGTCGGACTACGCCAAGAAAATATGTTCGCTAGATATGTATCGATATCTTTGAAACAAAGCGTGAAATAGATATAAAATTGAACATAATTGGAAGTATTTTACTATTTATATAATATCATATAATTTGCATTACTTGTATATTTGTTACACCATAATTTTGGATATTTCCTATTACTACGCGCGCGACCCGGGATTAGTGAGGTCATGTTTTGGATAGGGCAATCTCCACATGGTTGCAAAGTATTTCAAGAGTGCTTCAATAAATACACCATGGCTTTGACACATATTGATTTCATATACATTACAACCCGAGAGCTCGTGGTTATACGGACAGTGTTTTGTAAACGAATCTCTCATGACAAAAACTATACACACTTATAAAAATTACATACTCATTAAATGACTACAAGAAGTAAACAGAACAACTCCACCCAAACAAGAAAAGACAAATGAAAAAAAAATGAAAGACAAAATAGAAAAATCACAATCGATCTAACAAACAAAACAATAACAAAAACAAAACAATCAAATATACCATCAAGCGTCATATGATGTTAATTTCGTGACGAGTTATCATAACTAATTAACCTTGACGTTGATTTATGTCTTGTGTTCGTCGTTAAATAAAGAAAAATACAGTGTCGATCATAATTAGCCACGTACCATTGTCAGCCCATTCATTTGTCATTACATACGTACTAATTATGTTCACATATATTCCGAATTCTTAGTATGAGGAGTTTTAATTTCGACAAGAACCTGTATCGATACGTCGTGCTCTAGAGTAAAAGAAGTTGTCATCCATATATACTTGGTCTATCTGACTTCCAACTTCTAAAATGCCACTCCAAGAAGTCGTACTTGTTGGTACCTGGCGATCAGCATTAATGGACAGACAGGTTTATTCAGTAATTTAGGCACTAGGCCCATAATACATATATACATTTGGCTGAAGTAAATACGTACTGAGTAAAACCAGGGAGACTATATGTTGTAGAGTATTCCTGGTAAAACTGAGTACATCCTCCATAACTCCAGGGTATATGTTCCGATAAATTATAGTGCTGGTTTATAGGAACGTATACAACATGTTTGTCTTAAATACATTAGCTTATAAGTATCTTAGAAAAAAACAAGGAAAACTGTATTGTATTTTCATAGACTTCAAAAAGTCTTTTGATTATGTCGATAGAAGCAAGCTACTCTTTCAGTTACTTAGAAAAGGAATTCATGGTAAATTATATATTGTTAGAAAGTATTTATTGTAATGTGAAAGCATGTGTGAGATGTACACCATGTCAGTTTACAGAAATGTTTTCATCTTCTCGAGGTGTTAGACAAGGGTGTATGTTGTCACCAATTTTGTTTTTAATGTATATTGAAGAGTTAGCTACAACTATTGTCCAAGCGGACCCACGAGGTATTTTTGTAGATAGTGATATTGAAGAAATCTATCTGCTTTTATTTGCTGATGATGTCATTATGTTTGGCGATACAGTAATTAACCTCCAGAGAAAAATAGATGTTTTGGAAGAATATTGTGAAAAGTGGGGTTTAACAGTAAATTTAGACAAAACCAAAATAATGGTGTTTAAAAAAGGAGGAAAATTATCAAAATTTGAAAAGTGGGTATAAGCAGGTAAATCTATAGAGGTTGTTTTTTATTATAAATACTTGGGCATTATATTTTCATGTAGAAACATGTTTACAGTTGCTTGTAAAAATTTGGCCAAACAGGCAGAAAAAGCTTTGGTTCCTGTAAAAAGAATGATTTGTAGATATGAAAATTTGGATGTTAATACCTGTTTTGATATTTTTGATAGAAAAATTCAGCCAATTTTAATGTATGGTTCGGAAATTTGGGGTATAAAAGACAGAAAAGTTTTAGAAAATATCAACACAAAATTTGTAAATTTATTTTAAGAGTTGGCTACCGCACAAGTAACTTGGCAACTTTAGGCGAATGTGGACGCCATCCCTTGTTTATTCATCAACAGCTAAGAGTTATAAGCTTTTGGTTAAGGATACTCGGTATGAATTGTAATAGATATGTTAAACATTGTTATTTACTCATGAAGCAACAAGATGATATTATAGGCTACATAATCTGGGCATCAGCAGTTAGGCATATATTATTTTCTCATGGCTTCGAGTTTGCTGTCAACGTACTAGTGTACATTTAAATCTCAGCTTAATACTGAAAGATATTTAACTTGTATAACATCTGTACAATTAAGAGGGGCCTTGACTAAGTTCAGATGCTGTTCAAACAATTTTAAAGTTACTAAATACAAACATGTTCACAATTGTAACCCTGCTGATTTATTATGCCCGCACTGCGGAGAAGGTGAAGAAGATGAATATCAGGTTCTGTTATATGTTTATATGTCTAAATTATTATTGTAGTCATCCATGTACTGCACATTTTATACCTAGGTATTATTGTAGTCATCCATGTACTCCACATGTTATTACCTTGTTATCAACAACAGATAGTAATCTATTGCTCCGCTTAGCCACCTACTTGTATAAAGTATTCAAAGCAAGATTATAGAGTAACATAGGTTATGTTTGGGATTGCGCTCTCTTGGTGGGGTGCGGATTCTCGTGCTTTTGTTGGGTTGGGTCCCATCCGGATTCGAGCCCGCACCCCCGGAGTTGGGCGCCTGTTCGCCGTCGCACGGGGTCGGCCGCCTAGCCCGTCCGCCGAGCACGGGCGGCTGACTGTGTGTGCTGGCGGGTGGGTGCCGGGCTGTGGGGGTGTGGTTCCGGGTCCTGGATGGGACTCGGTCCGGCAGGGGTACGGGAGTCTGTGCTTTGCTGGGAGGGCGTGATCCCAAACAGAACGTGCTGCATTTGACCGGATTCTCAATGGCATTGTGTATTATGTATTATAGCGCTCTAAAAAACTATTTATATCCTAAATTAAGTCTTACACTGTACTCTAGGCCTCCTGGCCCCGAAATACAATAAACTTCTGTTTCTGTATTAACTAATGTTATAATTACTCATTCCTCATACGGCGGACTAGTGAAAGATATTTACTCAATGATTAATATGTATATTGTCCGACGACAACAGTCGGATGAAGGTTTCAGTTGTAGGTGGTTGAGTCAGATGATTTGAAAAACAGTCAGATCTTTTTGGGAATATTTTGGACATATTAATAAAATATGGAGTTCATCTTCGATGTAATCAAGGCCAGCAGAATGACAAATGGGGCAGAGACGTTCAATATACGGGGTGTTTGTATGACGGCCACATTCCACTGCGAGTCTGAAGTTACAGCACCAAAAATGAATTGTGACTTTACGTTGATTAGGTAGCAGTTCACTGGTTAAATACGGTTCGACGCTTAGTAGTGATTTAAATTGTGAATGGTAATTACATTTGGATGACATAATGCATGCCAGTGTTGAGTGAAGCAGTCATAAAATCTATGTTTAAACATTTCCATGAATGTGGAGATATGTAGCCGATGTCTTGAGATATCCATAAGACACCTTATCCATATTGAAATAATATCAGCCTAATATGAGAAGCCCATGTTGTTTTACCATTAATGGATACAACAAGGACTGGTCGGCTCGGAGTCAGTTTAATGTGTCTGAGTGCTTAACTGCTACACTGGTATCTCAGTGGGCTAGCACTAGTATAAAACCAGCTTCAGTCTGGGCTAGTACAAGCAGCCGCACATACACACCCATGCACGTCGTCATATGAGCGAAATATTCTTAAGTACGACGTTAAACCCCATTTCACCACCAGTTAAACATAATTGTAACCCACTGCTTGCACAAACTACAATAAGCACGTCACAGAATACATCTTGTTGTGATTGTAGATTTATTTTTCTCCAAATTTGCATCTCCAAAACCGTAAATGATGTTTTAATGGCTATCGCGTATTACATAATTTTGACGCGTATTTTAATCGACATGTAGTTCTGGATTCAAATATATCTGTAATATGTCTAATATAATCTCTTGTATACGTCATGTCCAGTTTGATCTACAGGCCGAGGTGTTTGTACAAGGAGTTATTTCATGGATCGGAATGGTCCCACTGATTAATATTTGTGTCTTACATGCATTCTGCGTCGTTACGCAAACCCACATGAAAGACAGGGTGTATATTACATAGAGAACTCTTTAAAATTGATACAATTTTATAACGTACCCTGATTAATGTCTTATTTACAATAAAAGGGCTCTTGAAACGGTCTCTATTCAAAGTTGTGACAGGACTACCAACACGGATCTAAACATATGCTTGTATTTCTATGATGTCTGCAGAATTTAGTGCTGGCTTATCCTCAGACATAAATGGTAGTCCTGTAAATCTGTTGCTCACCGAACAGTCTTGGTGGAAACAATGGCAATCTGAACCATTCGGAGAAGCGGCAGTAAAATACTTCAGTAATCCTTTGTCTCACCATCTGTCCCGGTCACAACACACTACTTAAATATGTGTTGTGATCCAAGCTCTACTTGTGCAGGCCAGGGTGTTCTTCTTCCCCAAGATGCTGATCTTCAGTACCCGAGAACATCTGTCACCTTTCCATGGCTGACACTGGGATGGAACTTGTAGTGTATATCCAGAGATCTACACCCAGCTGTACACAACCCATGCAATAGTTAGTGACAAGATGATGCCACTTGTGTATGCCCTCCTGCCAGACAAGAAACCGTCAACATACAGCAGTTTATTTGACGTAAATCGTAGTGACTAATGTATATCCTTTGTAGTTTTTTCATGGCAATTCGTAAGTTTAGAAAATTCGTAATTGTGAAAACTAATTTCGTCAATACATTATGGTGTTCGAATATTAAGGTTTCTACTTTTGGGGGCAAATAGTTTTTAAAATAAACATATTGTCTATTCCTTCAGTGCTTGAAGCAGAAAGCCTCCAATTACAACCTGAATTTATCCCCGACAACAGTGTTCACCGACTGGAGTCAGCAGCTCAGAATGTAGACTAATG